ACAAGAAGGGACCCTGTTAGGTCACGGGTGAAGCCAATAAGCAAGAGAAAAATTCACAGCCTGGGGTAGTGGCCACATGAATATTCCTAGCAGATGGAAGGAGAGCAGACTGTGCAAATTACTTCAGCCCAAGTTTGCTAAAGTATTAGGAATCTAGGATAAAATACAGGGTTGCAAAAGAAACTTGATACCACTTAGTTTTGGAGAGCAGAGACATTCTTATCAGAATGGTTGGGTTCCTCTCTCAACGCTTCCAGTGATTCTTCAGGTAGCTGGAAGCAAGTCAGCTACTCAGTTTAACCATTTATAAAATGCACTAAATATTTATCGTTGCATTTGTCATTATTAGCTAGGTGTAAAGCATACTGAATTAGTGTTTGTAATGGGCTTGAATACCTTCACACAGCAGCTAGTATAAACATAAAAAATACTCTTCATTAAGAAGACCATCTGGGAATGGGAACTGGGAATAAAACAGGAGTATTATGATGGGATTTTGTAAAAGAAGATGGTATTGTTTTGATGTCTAGTATTGATGTTTCCAGCGCCAGCACAGTTATGCTAAGTGAAAATTACTGCAGAGCAGAATACTTTCTGTCTGGCTACCAAGAGGATATTTTCTTTTCTTGTGCAGACTTCACTTTACAACTTATGCATTCACTACATTGCTGACAAATACAAACAGATTTCTTTTTATTTGGGACTGCCAACTGAGTCAACACACCCCTTCTTTCTTTAGTTATAGTCCCTTACCTGCCTGCATGGCTCTCAAAGACATTCAGTATTTTTTCTGCCATGGAAAAGATAAAACTTCCACGAGATCTGTGACTTTGTAAATCAGCTGGTAAGATGAACTACGAAACCACTGTTTCAAGAGGCCTTCTAAGAAGACATATGCATGTTGTATTAGTGCAGGCCACCCTATCTGGAGTTCAGAGATGACAATATGGGCATCAAAGCTCTTGCAGGGCAGCTGAAAAGATATTTGCCATATCCACAGTTTTTTAACAATACAAGTCAATTGCTTCTCATGCAGATTTCCTGATGTAAAGTTTCTCTAGAATACTACTAAAACAGAACAATGTCCTATCTAAAATCTCAGATGCAATGAGTAAGATAATAGGAAGGCAGAAAACAAAATGTGTCTAGTCATGATAACCACACAAACCCCCCAGCACAAACTTTAAGTTAGGATCAGACAGTCCTTATCACTTAATAAATGAGAGGCAGGTAATGTCCTCTGTGTAATGCTTGACAAGGCTGAATGTCAAGATTCACATAATATAACTATACCGGTTGACACACCGAGCTCCATAAAATGATTCAAACAAACTGAGCAGTAAACAAACTCAGCAGATAACATTTCTGCTTTTGTGGCCCGTACCAAAGACTTAGCTGGTGGTAAATGAAGCTTTACTTTTGTTGATAGCAAAACTCTCACCGATTTTAATAAGATCAGAATTTAATCTCTGTCAAATAGATAAGTTTGTTTTGATATTAATAATAATCACAACGTGACATACCTAATGTTGCCTTCAAATATCTTTCAGTTTGATTCTAGACTGTGCCCCAGTCAATGCAGATTGACAACGTGCTGCTAGCAGTTCCCTGAGTCCTCTTTATATTGTAACATTAATGCCAGTTCACAGAACAGAACGGAGAGGAGAGCATTGGTGTTTGGTGGCTCGTGTGATGGCTAGGTTACGAGCAAGTTCATCATTATCTCTTTAATACATTCCCTACTACAGGGAATGTGTTTTCCCCTCTATTGATCAAGATTTTAGATATGAAAATTACACTACCACATACACTTCCTTTCAAGCTACACATATGCCACCAACTGGTACATTTTCTATGCATGTTTCATATCACACTGCAAATTACATTGAGAGAAAGCTAATAAGTCATTTGGATAGGATTTATCTCTCTCCAGTTTTTCAGAGTAGCATAAAACCCAGCTTCCCTAACAGAACATATTAGGGACAGAAAACAAGGAGAGATGAGTAAAGGCAAAAGAGAGCATTAGGAAATCCTCCTGCACTTTTAGTGTATGGATATCCCCTTTTCCTGCTCCAATCAATTAATTTTTAAAAAGGAAAAAAGGTTGAAGTGATTAAAGCTGTTTTCTCCTAAGATGAATGGCAGCACTCAAAGGCTTAAAGCATCAGCCTACAGTCGCAATGACTGTACTCTCTTTACCTCATCTCCTTTTGCATGGACTATTATCTTTTCTAATTATAACATCACTAGGGAAGGGCATGGAAAAGAGAGAGATGGTGAAAAAAATGAAGTTTAGCAAAACAACATTTGCAAAAGAACAGGTGAAAGAAAAACAATCCACATACCAATATACGAGCATTTTTTTTCTATCTGGAGGTGGACAGGCACAGCTATCCTCCAAAACTGAGCATATAATGAAGTATCTAAAGGGCTGGATATATTTATTATATGAGACATAACCCATTCATGTCACTGAATAAAGGTAAGTGGTTCAGAAGTGCTGAGCATCCACAAATGCATTCATGTCCGTAGGAAATGAGGATGTTTGGCTCCTTTTAAGTTCAGGTTATAAACTGCAATAATTAATGCTAGATTAACTTCTGTTAACCAGCTAGACCAACGATGCAGACCCCCAAATAAAATTTTCACTAGCTTTGACATTGCTTCCTGCCCTCATTTACTCTGGTGACACTGTCTACTTAGAATAAACAAAATTTAAACATACTTTATGCATTGTGGCATGTATACGTGTGCAATATTTACCTACTTAAAACAGCTTGGATCCAAGAAACAGAGCTGTGTTAGCACAGCACTTTGCTACATTAATTTACGTTTCTCCTCTGGTTCTGCAACGTGAAGTGCAACACTAGCCACAGCTACGCTGTTGTGGCACGCTGTTCGGATCATCCACATGAAGCTAGCCTGCACGTCTGTAAGTGGCTGTGCACTCAGCGTTTGGATAGACCTGCAGCCTGCACACTTCAGGAGAGCGATATCACCTTTGTTATCTGACCATATGGCTACAAAAGTAATAAATGCATGGCATCTACACTCAAGAGACAACGCTCTGCTTGATAAAACGACTCTGGAGTAATTGCTTAAAAACCCTGCCACTCTCCTATTGATTTTAAAGATAAATTATTCCTGTCACAAACCAACTTCCCTTTGAGCCTCCTCAGCAGCAGTGGCACTGCAGGCTGGCAGGGCTGGACGGGGGCAGAAGGGCCCAAGTTAGCGCTCAAAGACCTAATTTTAGACGGCTGGCACGAGGGGAGTTGAATACCTCTCCGAGAGCCTTTTCTGGTGCTGCATCCCAGTTCCAGATACTGCAGCACTCAGGAGCATGTTATCAAATCCTCCTCATACACTAATCAAGCTCCAGTGTAGCTAGATTTTTCCCACAGAGCTCTTTCTAGAAAGTGTTTTCCAGGGCCTGGCTTCTTAGCAGTCAGGAGCTTTCTTCTAATTTCCAGACTCTGTTTCATGATGAGTTTGCTCCTGTCTGCTCCTGGGCCAACATTACTCGTAAGCTTAAATAGCTTCTTTCTCTCTGTGGTGTTTTCCCCTGTGATGTACTCATAGATGGTATAGGTAGTTCTTGTACTAATGAACATCTTCTTCAGTTAATGAATAATTTCCCCTGCAGCAACTGTATCAAATACTTTATTGAAATGCAGGCAGATGAGATCCCCCTTTGTTTAGAAAAAGGTGGTTATCTCATCAAGCAAAATATCAGGCTCATCTAGCACGAACGATCTTCGGTTAGTTCATGTCGCTTATTAACTAATTTTCTGCTGATTTCCACGTATAAAAAGTCAACTCGCATAGCTTCGGAAATTTAAACTGCCTTGGGAATAGCTTGCAGGACTCTTCAAAGTTAAGTGGGGGAAAACTCTGGGTTTCGTACAGTCAATCCAATGCAAAAACAAGTAAGAAAAGATTAATCCTAACTATTTCTCTGTGCCAGTTAATGCATTTGTGTCTCCTTCTGCTG